AAAAGATAGTGTCTCTTGGGAGGGGATCACTTAATCTTTGGGACCCCGCATCATCCCGGGGATAAAGTAAGATTTATTACCGAGAACGGAGGCAATAAGCCATATACATCCCGAGGGTCGCAGGCCCGAGGGATGTATAGGCTTATTGTCGACGTTCGAGGTAATTAAGTATTTTATTTATCAATTGATTATATAATTAAGCTTTCCATAAATTACATGAAATACGTTCTGATATAGGAGAATCCAATAAAGAACACAAATTTGTTGGTGAATGGTCCTCGTGGACGCCATGTAACAAGACTTGTGGTGAGCTGGGAAAGAAATCTCGAAAAAGACTTTGTGCAGAAAAACCATTTGCCTTAAATTTACAAATCAACTACACATGCCCGTCATTGCTTAACGAAGACAAGTCGTGCCTTGCAAATACATCGTGTTCAGGTATTTGGAACAAGAGATTTATTCTCGTGAAGAAAGAATAGACCTCTTTACCTTGGGCATAATGTTTTCCCATTTCAGACCGTGTGTCATTCCCTAGAGTTTTTTTTTTTTTTTGTTTAACGGTAACGCATGAGAAGGCACATGAACATTGATACAGATAAAACAAAGAATCTTATTCTCAAGAGAATGACCCGTAGACCCCATTTTTCACTACCAGCAAGCAAGAATTCTTAAAGTCCCATGATGCCACGCGTTCTTTAACTCCAGTTAGGCTAATACTGCTTAGTGAATAGCTTGCAGGGTACATCGAAACAAAATCTATGCAAATCACAAGTTAAAAGTAACATTGGGAAATACCAGTTTTCTTTATAGAAACAGAATCTTGAAAAGTAATTCCTGCTCCTTTAAATAAACCATCTTTTGTCCAATAACTAAGAATTCACTAAGGCATGAACCAATCAGAGACGCGTAGAGATATCTGCTCTTCCCGATTCTGTTCCAGTAATATCCACTATTTTGTAAAATAGCTACAATTAGACAATACATCTTTTGGTTTTCTTTCACGGATACACAGGTTTCGTGCTACCCCTTGAAATCCTTGAAAAGTCCTTGAATTGAAAACACGTTTTACATGTTTCAACCGTTTCATTTCCGTTTCATTGACTTTTTTACCAGTTACCGTGAGTTCACCTCCTCTGAGCATTCTCAACTGCTGCAGTTTGTGTCAAAATCTTTACTTGTTGGATATGAAATATTTCCCGTGACTCTCAGCGATCACAGCTTTCTAGGTTTTTGGTGACTAACTTTATTGAAACAAGTATATATGGCGTGTACTCAATGAAAAATAAAATTGAGTTAAGTTGGGTAAAAAGATAAAGTAAGATGTCAGTCAGACAGTCATCCAGCCAGCCAGTCACTGTTGCAGTCAGTCAATGAGAAAGTCCGTGAGTGGCTGGATGGGTAAATGGGTGAAATAAGAAGTCATTCTGTCAGGCAGGCAGTCAGGCACCAAGTCAGTCAGTCGCTCGCTCAGCAAGTGGTAAGTGAGTCAGTCGGTCAGTTAGAGGCTTTGCACTATCAAGTAATGGAACTGCCATAACAGGAGGCAGGAATAATTGAATCTAGTCTAATCTGATTTACATACAGGGTAAGCCTCTATTCAATCAATTAGTCAGTCTGATATCTGATCTAACAAGATTCCTTTTGTAATGTTTTTTTTTATTTTGATGATTTCTAGGTGTTTTGTATACGCTAGCGCCACCACGTGCAATATGTTCGCCGTTTTGTCAAAAGCAAAACAGACTTTGTGCTTTAGAAGGCCATGACTTTCCAAAGTCTAGTGCCTTTCTAATATTTGAAGCCTTGGGGAAAGTCTGCAAGACAACGGAAAAAACTGAATAGTAAGTATCTCCTTTCACTGACAAGGGGGGGGGGGGGGGGGNNNGGGGGGGGGGGGAGCTAGGTGCAAGAGAATAAATCAGTATTTCCTCATCCATGCTCCCATGCCAGAGCACAGGGAGCCCAATTTAGATAAAACTGAAAGTTGAAAATAAATCCATAAAAATGAACCAGAACATTTTTATCGCGCGCGCCTTTATTATCCTATATAATTTCCCTATGGTATTCTATGTCGTCGATCGGTGTGAATGCTCTGATTATGCCTTTCAGTTATATATAAATCGGGCTCCCTGTGGCAAGAGCAATACTCCAGTTTCAAGTTCTCTGTTGCTTAGGGTTAGCCTCCTAATTTGTGTAGAATATTCATGTGTTCCAGTGAAGGTCCGCGGAATTTCAAAGTGTATTGTTGAAGTTGTGCACTCTTTACTTTGCCGTTGGTATTTGTGGATATTTAGACACTGATTCTGAGGCTAACCCTGTTCAAATGAGTCTGTAATCAAGGAACACAGCGGTAATTTGGAACTCGAAAAGTATTATGTGCAAGGTGTGGTTAATATTGATAGAGCGATGTTCTCCAAAACTGTGACGCTCTTCGCTAAATTCTACGACTGTAGCTATGAACTTTCTTTTTATACCAGTGTTCCTCTTAGCCGATTTGTTCCCAGATCCTCCCGACTCCTTCCCCGCCGGTACTAACCGAGGAAGACTAGGCATCTATACCACTAACAAGTTCTTCCTGACCAATCACATCGATGTTCTGGGGAAAAAAGGCTTTAGCTCAAGGGGTTACATTATATATTTACATTATCGTTATTGTTTTCGTAGTGATAACGGGAAAGTGGTACGGATAAGTAAAGAGGGGCTTTGCCGAGGTTATGAAAATATTCCCGACACGTTCAGCTGCAAAAGCGATGAAATGTCTGATACTGATAATGTGGTCTGTCCGTGTGCTCCTCTTCCAGGTAATCGAATAATTGTGTTGTTCTATTTGCTTTTATTTTCCTGTATTTAACAATTATTCACCGAAGGCGAAGTGAATATTGGGTAATAATAACCGAAACGAAGTTGAGGTTATTATTCCCGATATTCACTGAGCCTGAGGTGAATATTTTTTTTAGTATAAATACACAGGTGGTTCTTTCAAAAAAAGAAAAAAAAGAAGATAAAAGACACATTTAAAATTAGGAAACAGCAACAAAGCGGCTGGCCGCCATTTTGGATTATCGCTGGAGGTGATTATCGTGTGATAATCTGAGTTTCTCGACCAATCAGCGCGCTAGATGTTCAATGACAATCACCTTTGTATTTATACTAAATGATAATAATGATGTCGTTGATGATGATGGTTGTAGTTGTATCATGTTACATAAGTGCTGTGGTTCTCTTCTAGTAGGTGTTTACTGCTTTTATCGTGACTGTTATCGTTGTTGTTTATGAAAAACTCGTTAATTTGAACGAGCCTCGAAACAAACAAACGAGATCTGAAAACACAGTTGTCACTGATTTTAATCTAGATTTCATTCAAATGTCTCCGGGGTCGTGTTACTGCGACCTTCGTCATTAAGTAAGCGCAATCCACATTACATGGCTATTTCACTTGGGAAAAGTAAATATGTTCCTTCATGATCATTGAATGTTGGTCACGCATTATATATACACTCAATTGAAGAATCGTTGTCGTAGTTCAGAAACATAGAACATGAAAGCTGAGAACGAAATGGCACATGGGAAATGACATAATTATATTATAATTTATTCATTTGCGCCATCCATGCAGTCAGTTTAGAATGCCAAACGCGTATTAAAAACAGTGGATGATGCCACGGGTCTCCGGTCACAGCATGCATCTAATTAACGTTCTTCCCATGTGCCATTTTGGTCTCAGCTTCTATGTTCTATGTTTCTGAACCCGACAACGATTCTTCAATTGAGTGTATACAAACAAGAGATAAATAACCCAAAGCTTACTCAAAGTTTGCATTTACAAATGCCGGGTTTAGCAAGGGGAGTTGTACCACTGCTAGGCCTTAAACTTGGGCTTAAAGTTTTCTTTGAGTTTAGTCTCAACTACCTACATTAAATAACATTAGTAAATGAGAGGATGTTTTTGGACACACAGCTGTGTATAAATATCAAAGCACGTTTTCTAGTCCGGTTCTGCTCGATCTTCCTCGCTATGGAATGTAGAATCAAAAGTAGAAAAGAACACATATATAYTATCCATCAGTGTTTGGTATCTTACGAACAAGCAGATTGCAATGCGTCCACGTATGGGAATTTCAATTGATGGGTTGCCAGCATTCCCAAGAGAGTTAAAAGACAAAAGCATGGCAGCCATCGTGGTGCAAATGGCACCAATGCTCCCCTGAGAGGCAGCGATAACGTAACGTGCAAGCGAAGAATTGCTCTATTTCAATATGACGTCACATCTTGTTTATAGAATGGCGAAGAACAATACGAATTTGGACTAATCTTACTCTGCAGCTGAATTGAGAGTTCTGATATGTCCTTTTTGTCAAACATTTTATAAACTGGTGTTCATCCTACAATATATATAAAAAAAATTATGTATTTTTTACAACCATCACTCCCCTCGTGAGGGGCTCTTCTGTGAGGTTCCCCCCTCACGCACTACCACTACATTCTATATTTACAACATAGAACACTCAACTCACATGCTGATTTTTACGGAGGGAGGAAACCGGAGATCCTGGAGAAAACCCTCGAAGCATGATCACAACTGGGTCAGGATGCAATCTGTGAAAGATAAGAAATCGAAATGGAATTCATCATGACTTCACATGAAAATTCTTTTGATTTGACACTAAGAATCATATTCGAGAAAACAACACATCAAACAAACGCAACTCACATATGATCCAGTATAACCCTAGCCGGGGCTCAAACCTGGACCACAGCGTTTGCACGTATAGTCATAATGAAATAGGGCAATACTCCAGTTTCGAGTTCTCTTTTGCTCAGCCTTAGTCTCGGTTGTGGTTAAAATATTCAGCTATTCAACCAAAGCCCGTGGCATTTTAATCAACTTGTATTGTTCCGTAGTGCGCACATGCCTTACTATACAATGGACCTTAATAAAAGAAAGAACAGATTTGCACACAATCGAGGCTAGGACTGAGCAACGGCGTACTTTAAGGCCCCGTCCACACTATGCCGGATAAATTTGAATCCGCAATTTTCACACCGAAACCGAAAAAAAAGTTTTCCGTCCACACATGAAAACGGATAAAATGTTTCGCGTCCACACTAGTCCAATTAGAGATGGCAAAAACGCTTCATTGCACATCTGGGCATGTGCATCGAAGCTAAAATTAAGCCCGCGGTGAATTTTTAGCCTTCCCGCCATGTTCCCATGACAATCATGACGTCGAAAAATTCGAAAAATTTCGGGTACGAAATGTTCTCCGTCCACACTAATACGGCTAGCCGGCGTTTTCAAATTGTCCACTCTGGAGACCGTATTCGAAAAAGTTCGTTTTCGGTGAAGAATTGTTCCGGATTCGCCAAGACTAGTGTGGACGGTAGGCCTAACCGAATAAATAAAAATTCGGATTCAAATTTATCCGGCATAGTGTGGACGGGGCCTAAATGGAAGTATTCCATTTCGATTTCTGGTCTTTCAAGTAGATTGCATCCTGGCCCAGTTGTGAACACAGAAAGGAAGTAAGCGGATTTTTCTTGGAAGAGCTGTTCCCCAATTGAGCTTAATGTTGAATTTTAACCAAACCATTTTTATGCACATGTTTAGTTCCACCGACCAATGTTTCCGTGGAACAACTGAACGCAACCGCAATAAACGTGTCCGTAAACTATTCCCCCGACAATCCTCGCCTGAAGTATTACAGAACTATTGGTATTGAACTAATCGACAGTCAAAGAAAAAGAATTGCTGTACGAAGTAAAGCCTATTCCATAAACGCGTGGATGATTTTTAACGGACTCGGTAGGCATGATACATACTGTATTCAAACTCGTTCTAAGGATGGTAATGGAGAAGGGTTCCCTTCAAGTTGCTACAATTTCACAATGCACAATGGTGAGTAGTCCCGGCCGTAGTCATATGATTGAAAACTATGTAAGGCTTAGGTCAAACGTTCACATGAACCGAACCTAACCTAATTAAAACAATGGATAACAAGGCGGTCTTCCTTGATATCATTAGGTTCGACTCGTATGAAATTCGACGCTTGAATTTACTTGAATGTAGCGGAGTTAGAAATCTCTCTCACGCGTAGCTTCCCTGCTAGCAGAGTCTCTCTTCTCTTTCTCTCCCTTCTTTCAGGAGGGGAAGAAGGAGACTCAGCCGATGTAGAGCGTTTCCTTTGATACACCGCCGTCCACGATTGGACGAACAAAACCAGTTTTAAAACCGATTACATCTAGTGCGCATGAGCAAATGTAACACAATGTGGCGCCAAACACTGTTTGACGAGAGCGGCTGTCAAAATCATGACAGCGTTGCTAAGTTACGCCACGCATGCGCGACAGAGATAACGTCCTACATCGGCAGAGTCTATTTTTCTCTCTCAACCAAAACAAAAGGAAAATAGGCTCTGCTAGCAGGGAAATGCTTGGCGTACCACCCAATCGTAAAAACCGTATTTTGGCGCACATTATATGCATGCGTAGAGGTAGAATAAGTATTTACTAATGGTCCACTTCTATAACATAGTGACTAGGAGTATATAGTTATTTATTTTTGTTAATTCTTGGGGTGCAACCACATGACCCAAACTTCCTTGAGATATAAATAACGATGAAACAGTCGCCATGTTGAATGATCTAACGAGAGAAGATAATGATAAATGCTATGTCGTCGTCAACCAACATGGCGCCTATGACGTAACATGAACCCCAAGAATAAGTTGTCATCATTTAACATCATCTAGCCTCGACCTTGTGTTGTCCTTATGAGTCAGAACGAGGTTGAATGTCATCATATTTCTCTCCGTTCATTTTTTTATTGACAGTTCCTTTAAGTGCCCCGCCCAACGTCAATGCCACTGGAGACACTAGAACTGCAATATACGCTCAATGGGACGATCTAGACTTACAACTAAATGGCCAGTTGATTAAATATTCCGTGTACGTCCTGCTTGGAGGAAATATATCTACCAGTGTCAATACAACTGACCAGAACGTGACTATTGGCGGTCTTCAAATCTTTACCAAGTATTGTGTACAAGTGTCTGCTTGGACGATGTCTGGTGAAGGACCATTAAGCCACTGCAAAAAAGCAATTACCTTACAAGGGGGTAAGAAAAGGAGTGAAAATATTTCATCTTTTAAGATATCTCCCTGGGAAGGGCATACACGAAGGTCAGCTACTATAAAAACATTCTTCGGCCTTAAGTCAAGGCACTCTTAAGGACGCTCATTCCTGTTTCCAAAACTGACGACCACCTGAACTAAATCCGCTGCATCTCGCGTCGTAGAAGGACTGCAATCATTATTTTTTCCAGAGACATAGTTAATAAATGAAAATATATTTTCATATAAGTTTTATCAAGATCGGACTTGTCATTGATTTTATTTTGATATAGTGCCCTTTTTAGTTGTCGCATAATTTCTCAAAATCTTGGGTCTTATGAACCAAATATGCGGGCATAATATACGAGAGCAAGGGCGGATCCAGGGTTTTTTTAAAGGGGGGGTCTCAGGGGTAAATTTTGTGGGCAAAGGAATCCCAGTCGCATTTTTACCACAGGGAGCCCATTTGACCTCAGGAATGACAGGGGGGTCGCGACCCCCCCGACCCTCCCCCTGGATCCGCCCTTGGAGAGTTTTAAAAAATTCTATGAGGCCGATTTTGAGAAAAAACGAAGTATTTATTTGACCTTATAAAAGTTGTAAATCGTCATTTGTTATAAAAATATATTTTTTTAAACGTTGTTACCAACATAAAACTCATAACGTTTTATATAGAAATAAAGAAGAAATCCCGTTCTTTATTTTGTATGAAATTCAAGATTGTCGAGTTATTAGATTGTAAGCAAGACAAGTTTAGTAAAGTAGTAATTTTGCGCTTAAAATGGAGAATTTCTTACTTTTCACTTCGAAAGCCGTTGCTTAAAAACTGCTCCTTACATTTTTTTTAAATTTCCGCTATCTAAAATTAACGATACGCACTATAACATATAAAGCAATTGAAGATTTTTAACATGGTGAAATGATGTTTCAAACACAGCTACTCTCTTGCCGTCGCCTGTACTCTGTTGGTTTTGACATTTCGCTGTCGATTGTTTACTATCCAAAGATATAATTATGCATGCATTCGTGCTTTTCACACTGATGAATTTCACGATTGTTATTATTATTATTAATATTATTATTATTATTATTTAATTTAGGTATTAATTTTTCGTGTTCGTTTTTTAGTTCCATTGTCTGCCCCAAGATCTTTCGCCATTGGATACGTAATGGCAGAGTTAGTAAACTTGGTCTGGGAACACGTGTTGCCCGATCGCAATCACGATACTCTTGTAGGTTATCGTGTGTACTACATAGAGTGTAACCGGTTCGGACTAACTGCTTATCAAGAAACGATGTATGGGTCAGGCCGTACTGCTAACATAACTAGTTGGATCAAGCCGTTCACTTGTTACTATTTCAAACTGACCGGTTTCACGAATGCAGGAGAAGGAAACTACACTGAATGGATCAACACTACAACTAAAGAAGGAGGTTATATATATATGTTATTACATCTAATTAGCGTGACCAGTACTTCTCATGTTTTGATTGGATTTTTGGCGGCTTTGTATAAAATTCCAAGTCTAAGCGGCAACTACGAGCCGAAGCCGTTTTTTCAGTTTACTTTCCCATTTGCCCCGCAGCCCACCCCGCTGCCCACCTCGCTGCCCAACAACCCGTTTTGCCATGCGCGCGCTTGGATAAGGTAAGCCTTACGTCAGGATACTTCCCGCTTGCGCAGTTAATCGAAATTGCAAAAATTTCACTAGATCTCAGTTAACCGTAGAAATACAAAACCATGCACTAATTTGTACAATTTCGTTAGTTAACTTTTTCACGTAAAGATGGTATGCAATCTCAGATAGTCATCCCGACAATGTCACGAACCCGTTCGCGATACGTTTGTAACAAGTGTCTTCGTATTTAAAATATGCGTCCAAACTCTAAGCCCTTTCTAACGTTGGATTTCTTGTTTTTCCACATGTAAAGCTCCTACGGCTGCTCCAGGCGGACTTAGCTATCAGGAACTAAGCAATTCTTCAGTGAACATCTCTTGGCAGAGCCTTCCATCAAACCACGCTAATGGAGTTATTCGGGGGTATAGTATTTGCCAGTCGATTAATTCGTACAGCAGTGCTTGCAATGAAAGAATAACAACATGTTCTGATGTGTTACACAAAGTTGTCCGTAATCTGGCCGTAGGGAAGAATCACTGCTTCAAACTAAAGGCGTTCACGGCCGTTGGTGCTAGCCCTTCAAGTGACTGTCTTGATGTATTAATCGAGATGGGTAAGTTACTCTTCAGCATTTGCAGTACAATAAAGTAGAACCTCAATTAAACGGCCTTCTCTTATAGCGGCCAGTTGCCAACGTCCAAAATTTCCCCATAATAACATGCAGCTTTGGGTGGTAACCAAAGGAAAAAACTCCACTACTTGAGGGCCCTTATTGTCGATATGCTAAAGCCTGATCAGATCTAAAAAAGACCTCTTCAAGAAGGGTGAGAAGCACGCGCCTWCTGCTCGTGCTTCTCCTTACACTTTTTTCGTGCCTACGCCAATTCCTGCGTGCTTTATTGCTGAACGGAGCACGGAAAAAGCTGTTTTATTTGTTAAACAAACCATGATAATAAAGATTCTGATTGTTGCAGCTCCCAACGGCTTCCCGCAAAACATTTCTGCTACAAACACTAGCTCTACATCATTTAACATCGCGTGGGAACAAGTCGATACTGATCTTCAGAATGGCATCATTAAAGGTTATCAAATCTTTTGGAAGGAACTGGCAGCCAATAACACAAATTCTATGACCGTAAATGACACAATTCAATCCCTGGAAGTGACCATGTTGAAAACGTTTACAACGTATTGCGTTCAGATACAAGCGTATACTAGTAAGGGAAATGGTCCTATGAGCCCGTGCGTCCACGTGACAACAGATGAAGGAGGTATGCATGGTTGCTATAGAAATATATTAAAAATAGAAAATCTTTCTTTGTTCTTTTCTTTTTCTTTTCCTTTATTTATACACGGTTGTCCTTAAAGCTATAAGCTTGTGGGGCCATGTATCCTCGATAAACACTCCTTATCTCATTCGAATATTCTATACACAACTCTCAACTCAAATGTTGATTTCTACAGAGGGAGGAAAACGAAGTATAAGCTTTATAATATTTAAAAGAGCAAAAAGAAAAACAACAACAAACAAATGGAAACTGGTTTTTGGAGGTAATTGCCCTATTTCACTATGACGTCACTGCTTGTTTATGTGGGGGATAGAATCGCCAAATCCAATAGAAAATTCAACAAAATTTGCTCCTAGCGAAACAGTTTAATCTAAAATGGCCTGGTTTTCAGATGTGTTAATATGTACTAAAAAATATTCTGAGAGTTTGCTGGCTATTCTACTTCTTCGTGGATTGATACAGGTTTTAGAACAATTTTCGGTGAATTTGCGTTGATTTGACCCCCTCCGACGACCATGATCCTTTGCGTTTAAACAATAGATTGTTTTGATATGACGTCATAGAGTTATAGGGCAATTGAACCAACAGAAACAAAAAGGAACAGGAGAAGATCGAAAAAAAGAAGCTGAGAAAAAGAAAGATAGTGCGGAGAAAAGGAGAAAAGGAAGGGGAGTAAGTAAGAAAGGAAAAATGGAAGGAATGATTGAAGAAAAATCAAGTTGAATGAATGAATGGGACGAAGTAAAATGTGGGGCTTCGCCAATAAAACAGATTAAAGCCTCAGTGGCCGAGCGGTTGAGATCTCGTCTAGCAAACGAGAGGTCAGTGGGTTCGACGAGAAATCAGCGGGTCGAGTCCCGCGAGATGCCAACTGAGGCAGATTTTTTAATCTGTTTATACACTCGATGTAGCATACACTTAACATATAGATCTGTACCGAGTGACAAAAACACATTTCATAGATTAAAGACAGTTTTTAAAATTCATGTTTGTAATACCCTCTATTTTGTTTTATTTTTTTATTTTTTTAACGGCTATTCATCTGTGCTCTGTGTTGGATGTAGAAATGATACATATTTTGAACTTTTAATAGCAACACAAGAATTACTATTTACCTAGAATGTTCTACAAACGCTTTAGTCTTCTTGATTGGTTTTATTGTTAACTTAAGGTGACTGCCTACTTTTGGAAATTGATTTAAGCTTATTTTAAAACTTCGATTTTTCGAATTGAAATTTAATGCTGATTCCAAATCTGGAAAGAAAAATAGGGTGTCCCGAGCTTGTTTTCGAGATAATCAGTATTTAATGGGAGCCTACGCACGAGCTTTTGGAGTAAAAATTGCGCCACCKGAAGTGATTAGAAAAAAATTAAGATTAATAAGATAATAGTTATTTGCAGACTATATGATTGCACGAACGAAGGCTAGTCAATCCTTCTACAATAATACATGGATATTTTCGACAAAAAGACAGAGAGATACATCGATTTGTTATATTTTGTAGTTTCGGTGCTCTTAAAAAATCTCATAAAGTCGAACAAAAATCCCTACAAAAATCTATTGTTTCGCGTGTTCCTGATTTAAACTTTTCCTAAAATGTTGATATAACCTAGATTTTTAGGAGTTTTTTCGAATGAGCTATCAAAAAATATAGAGTCCCGTGCAAAATTTGAGGGTTTTGCCCTGTTGAAGCTCAAAACGCGTATGGTTCTTCAATAAAATCTTGTAGATTTTTCAGCGGTTTTTGAGCGCGCGCACATCGTGGGCTCAAATCGAACGTTCAAAAGTAGGCAGCCACCTTAAAATGTTTTGTCTGACTGAATTAACATCATTTCCAGCTGTTCTGAGAGAAAATGGTAGCCAATCAGAATCGAGAAAAATTTGCAAAGCTGAGGTGTCGCTTTCCCAATCTCGTACCCAGAGTTCCTCATCTCGGTGCTGACCATGAGGAACGTGGGCTCTGGGTACGAGATTGTCGCTTTCCCTCTTGAAATTATGGATTTTCAAGCCACTAAATAAAAAAATAACGTTGCCAATAAGAGTTTGAAAACAGTGAAACAATAATTCATGAGTTTTATATTTATTTCTATGGCGGGTATTTATATATTTTTTCGGCTGGTAAATTTTCACAGGCTTTATGACACTTCAGTTTTGCGTCACTATTTCCTTTATTAGATTGCACGCACTAAAACCGTGAACATTAAATAGTACTAATTAGTACTATTTCATGCAGAATCCTTTGTTTTCTATTGTTTAAATATCACTATTTAGTGCTAAATATTAGTATTTGTTTCACGGATTTAGTGTGAGCACTCTATTATTATTATTTTATTATGATTATTATCTTTATTATCTTTATTACCTGACTTTGTATTGCTTTGCTTGTCCGTAGTGCCCTCTGTGGCTCCAACCGATATCCTAGTCCAACGTACCACATCAGGAACTATTACTATCTCCTATTCTCCCATACCAAATGAACATGCTAATGGCTTTCTCCTTGGATACAGCCTATATGTGTTATATAAATGCGAGCAGAATCCCAATAAGGAAGAAGCCTATACTTTAGATTTTGCCAGTAATATAACAGTCGTGAAAGTTTATCTTCTGGCTCCAAACAAATGTCACTCTCTGAGTGTCTCAGGCTATACAAGAATAGGAGAAGGCAACATCAGTGAATGGGTAAATGCTACAACTCTTGATGAAGGTGAGTCAATCAAGTCTACTTACACTTTCTATCAAAATATTTGTCCAAGGGATGGATCCAGGGGGTGGTAAAAATGGTGTCTACCCACCCCCTCCCCTCACAATACATATTACACAAGGAAACTGTATCCAAATATTTTGTCCAAGGGATGGATCCAGGGGTGGTAAAAATGGTGTCTACCCACCCCCTCCCCTCACAATACATATTACACAAGGAACTTGTATCCAAATATTTTGTCCAAGGGATGGATCCAGGGGCGGGTAAAAAGGGTGTCTACCCACCCCTCCCCCCACAATACATATTACACAAGGAAGCTATCAAAATATTTTGTCCAAGGGATGGATCCAGGGGTGGTAAAAAGGGTGTCTACCCACCCCCTCCCCCCACAATACATATTACACAAGGAAACTGTATCAAAATATTTTGTACAAGGGATGGATCCAGGGGTGGTAAAAAGGGTGTCTACCCACCCTTTCCCCTCACCATACATATTGCACAAGTTGAGGACACTGTTTCGAAATATTTGTCCAAAGGGTGGAACGAGGGGTGATAAAAAGGGTGTCTACCCACCCCCTCCCTAACAAAACATATACAGCGAATCGAAATATGGCGACCAATGTGTATAACTATTGTTCTGCACTGACTAGCGACTGATGAGCGTCGTGTTCAGGGGAAACAGAAAAGCGTTTTCACATGTATGAGAGGCTAGTCAGTCGCTAGTCAGTGCACGACAATAATTATTTAAATTAGTTGCCATATTTCGATTCCGTGTATAGTTATTGCAAATCGAATATCATGTATATTCAAAATAACTCGAGATACCACAGCCAGCCCAGTACAGAGATAAGTGCAAGAACTTTATAACGAGTTTATACTAGGCTTGGTTTTTCGCCCCAGCTCCAAGTGGTATCCCACAAGACATATCGGCTCGAAACACCGGTTCTACTTCTTTCATCGTCACATGGAATGAAATCGACCAAGACAAACAAAACGGTCAGATCTTAGGGTACCGATTATTCTACACCGGGTATTCAGGTGAACGTTCCAATTTATCAAAAACAACCAATGCATCTATTCTGTCTCTCGAAGTCACGATGGTTGAGAGGTATTCTTCGTACTGTGTTCAAGTGCTCGGCTTTAACAGGAAAGGGAATGGCCCGTTAAGCCCGTGCGTCAATGTCACGACTGATGAAGCATGTAAGTACGATTGTCTTTAAGGCAAAATGTTTCTCGAGAAGAAATTCTGTTGCTTGATGGTTTGATAAAGATATGGAGAGGGGAATATTAAACGGCAAATGCTGGATAATATCAGTCGGGACGTCAGGAAACGGCTAACTTATAGATCTGACCTGAATGTAGGGCGTTCATCAGGTAGGATCTATAAATTAGCCGATTCTCGACACCAGGGGTGGTGAAGTGGGTGTCTAGCCTTTTGCTCAAATTTCTCGATATTATTCTTCCCTTTCACCCCCCCCCCC